TTGCGTTAGAATTTTACTTGTTTGTAATTTGAAAATTCGTATTTAATTTCTTTATTGGAAGTTGAACAAAATTATGTAAGCATGTTGCAAATTTCAATTTAATAATTGTAAAAAATCTTCCTTTTTCATTTTCGTAAAAGCTTTATATTGCATCTGGAGCATATCGGATGGCAAGTTTCTCTTAATAAAAAATATAATAATTTACATTATTGTTCACTGTAAAAGTAATTTTTAATTTGAAAATTTTCAAAGAAAACATTTCTATTCTGTATTATAAAAAAAAAATTGAAGAAGCTAATTTTCATTGAAAAAAAGTCGGACAGAATTTCTGCGTTAAAATAGCAACATAAAATTGGTCAGTTAGCCTTAAAACAACTAGAAAAAAGTCGAAGTCAAAAGTCTAACAAAAAAAAAAAAAAAAAAACACTTTGACTCAAAAAACCAACACTAATTTTAACTAATTTTAATTTAGGGTATAGTGATATCCACAGACTTTGTCGAAGTCTGTGGAAGCTTAAACAATAGTGATTGTATTGTGGTCGAAGTCTGCTGACATGTCTGCCAATTTGGAATTGACCTGTTTACACTCTTACTGGAGTTCGGTCATACATGCTATGTTTTCATGTTTATTGTGTAAGTTAGAGATAGACTCCAACGAGACTGAGTTCAAATATGTACATACAGCCTTATAAATTCCTTCTTTGTCGAAGTCTAGTTATAGGGTCGTGTCTGCCCAGGCTTGTTGATTTACTTCACAGTTGCCAGCCAGGAATATCGCTTGATCCTGAAGCCCATTCGTCAACTATAAATACGCATAAAAACTATTAGATCTATAGACTAGAAGTTCTTTTGCAGTTTTTTACGAGAGATTTTGTTTCAAAGAAAATTTAAAATACATTTTGCTTGACTATTTTGAACTATTGGATAGTTTTAATGTCGGAGACCATTTCTAAGGGAAGCTAACTCCTGAAGTCAAGTTGTAACTAAAGTGACAGAAAATAACGAAAACTAAGCAAGCGGAGAGATCAAGATGTAATTTATGAGCTTTGTAATTTAACATCTTCTAATCAAATGCTCAAAGTACATTACTGTCGATAGGCGATTTATAATTTTTTTTTTTACATCACAAATCTTCTGGGACTTAATTTTCTATGGTTGGTAGAGGAGCGTTATTTTGCCTTCTCATTATATGCTTTACCGAGAAATGTTTCCATGTTGTTCTGGCATTACCGACTTAACGAATGTTATAGACAAATATTAGAAGATTTCATACAGGTTCATAATTTTGTAGGACAGATTTGACAGCTCTAGTGATTTTTACTTTTATTTTTATTTATTTTTGTTAAAGACAACAACATAGAAAAACTGAACAAACAGTGCCTGAAACTCGCCGTGTTGGCATAATAGAGATAACAGAGATTCTTAACAACTCTTATGGGTCGATTCAACTTAAATATTTGGTTAAAGTTTTGGGTGCGCCAATGCTAGACTTCTAACAAAAAAAAACAAAACAATCTTTTACAAAAACTAAATCGAATGGAGGACTCTAAAGAGTTAACCGAAACTAAGAAAAACGAATTTGACTGAAGGCCAACATAGCCGAGGCTTACAACCTGTATATGGAAAATTTGATAAAGACATGCTTGTATGTAGTTATTGGTTCAAGAGTTGTAATAAAATACGCGAAAATGTAATTTTTGTTGTCAGACCGGGTATGTATGTATTGAATTCCTTTGAAAACATGTGTCCATCTCCTTAATGGGTCTTCAACTTTGAGTTAAAAGAATTTAGTTTTTTGTTGTCAGTGCGGGTGAAGCTTGATCATATCATGTATATGTCTGGCCTTTGAAAGTATTTCCCCCATCTACACAGTGGGTCTTTAAACAAGTGTGACTTGACAAGTTACGTAACTTCGCAATTTCCTGACAATTAAAACTTTTCCAACGCACAATTTAAATTTTACATAATTAAAGCAAAAGTTTTGACCTGGGATTAATGCCGACTTGGCAGCTTTTCCGTAGCTCTTAGAAATGACAAAAATGCTACAAAGCAGCTTGGCAAGCGCGCGCTGCTAATTTAATGCCAAGAGTCGCATGTTCAAGCGCATATTTGTTGTTGTAGTACATTATTTTAATTAATTATTATTTTGCATTTTTCCAACAACATTTCTTTTTTTATTACAACAACAGCTGTGCTGTGGATCAAGTGTGTGAATAATGCTGTTTAGCCACATTTTTATTACTCATTAGCTGAGCGCCACTTACGGCACTTTTAATTAAGCTCATTACTTTCAATGCTTTTATTTTCGTAGACAACAGATCCACGCAAATACATACACATATGTATGTATAAATATTTGGAATATGTTGAAAGCACTGCATAAAATTAAGCAACTTTGTAAAGACTCGAAATGTTTGTATGTATGAATGGAAGTACGCGCGTCTACAATTGCAAAGTTGCAGTTATGCGCCGGCAGTCGGCATGCGATCTATTGCATAATTAGAAAGCTGTTAGCATTTCGAATGTTGAACTTTTGTTACACCTAAAAAAAATGTAATAATAGACTGGCTATTGAAGCGCAAGCAAGAAATTTGATTTCAAACATTTTATGGAAATTAAGTTGCGTCACCTTTTTATAGTCGCGCTGGGTCGGTCAGCCAGCAGAAAAAAGTTGTAATTAAATGAAGTGATTGTTGTTTCAACTCAAAAGTGGAACTTACAAATACTTGAAGGTAAAGTATACCTTTTTACTTATGCCTTGGAAGTAAAAGCTTTGAGCGCATGTGAAAGCTCCGAGAGCTCAGATTAAAAATTATAGAATAGCACTTTAATGTAGCAATAAGCATTTGAAAGCAAATTTAACCTTTTTTTTAAGCTTTAAACACCTTAGAAAGCTCTGAGGGCTAATATCAGATCAAAAATGTAAGCGATACGCTTTCATGTAGCATTGAACATTTGAAAGCGAAGTGATCCTTAGTTTGAACTTAAGAAGCAAACGAGTGTGAAAGCTCCGCGGACTGATCTCAGAACAAAAATTTAAGAATTGTGCTTTCACGTAGCAGTAAACATTTGTAATAAACCGAAGAGATTTATGTCGATTTCTTCTTTCAAGCGAGTGGTTGCTTAACGATGGCATAGGGATCTATGATAACAGATTTCAGAAGTAAAAGTAAAAAATTTTTTTATTTTTACATACTCAAGCTTTCGAATAGAAAACTTCGTGCCCCTATAAAAGTTTCGAGTACTTCAGTTTATGATTTGTAAATTTTTAGTTGCTAGAAAATAATACAGAAAGATTCTGATCTCATATTTCAAAACTAAATTTGAAGAGCTGAGCTTTCATGTGACATTAAAGCTTTCATATATGACTGTAAAAGCTCTGGCAATTTTGCTTTCATTTTTTGCAAATTATTGACCGTTTCTAATTATCGAATACTTCGCGATTTATGAAATAGCGAAGGTTTTAAATTGAACATTTTTCAAAACTATTCTCATACGTTGCTTTCATGAGTAATAAAGATAAGCATAATTTGTGTATCAGAAATGAATAATGGCGATTACGATCGTATATACTTGTATTGTTTACATGGATGTTCTTCAAAAGTAGTAGATATGGAGAAAGAAAAAGGGTTATTTCTAAGGTATATTAACAGCTCTACCAAATAACGCTTTCGACTTTTATGGAGAAGATGTTATTATTAATGCAATCTAAGTTCATAAAAGTTTCAGCAATTCTGAAATTTGGTTTGAGTCTACTAAAATATGTTTAGACTCAACAAGCAGTAAGCTTACTCTTTAAAAACATTTAGAACCATTTCTCTCTTCTTGAAAAGAAGAGTTTTACTGACCTCATTTATATGTATCTTCATCCAAAGAAATCAATAAGCCCGAAATCTCCAGTAGATCACTTGGATAGACAATGAGAGCAAGAGATGGTCATTTCGTAAAAAATTTTGTAAATTGTTCATATAATGTAAGCATTATGAAATACAACTAAATTTATTAAGAAGTATTTTATAGTTTCATTTTAATTTCATTACCTATATACTCAGCTTCTTTCAATTACTTCTACTTTTAAAACATTATCTCGAAAGGATTGATTAATCATGTTAATGAATTACTGTTTTTATAAATAAAATACAACTTTAAAATTGTTTTGTTTAAAAATTCAAAGTTCAGATTAACTCGGGCACTTACTGAAACCTTGTTATTCCACTTCATCTAAAATAATATACTGATATTAATAATTCTGCAAAAATGCATGAACTGCTGGCTGTCATAAAACTTTTTTGGGTGGTTTACATATGATTAACGACTTCGTAGGGCACAACAGGTGGGAGTTTTTATTTAGGTACTGTGTGGCAACTGAATGAGATCATATGAAAAATATTTGTATATAATCGAAAGATTCGAATTAAAAGAAATTAGTTGAGTTACTGGTAGGAAACAAAAATAAAGATAGAAGTCTGGGCTTTCCAGTTATCGTGAAGGAGAGAATAATAAACTATTTTAGTTGAGTACTATTTGTACTTTGGAAGCCTTTTATACTCGAATTCACCACCAACTGATCCCTAAAAAATTTAAACTTGTATTTTTCTCTCGAAAAGCTACAAGCACGATATCTTTTATTAGTTATAGAAAAGAACTTGATATTGGTTCTTAGAGGAGATAAGTTCAAACACAGATCCGACAGATCGAGTACAGTCTGCTAGTTAACACAGATATAACATACATCAAATGCCATTCAGATGAGCTAACCTATCGATAGTCTCATCTCTAATCTTGCTTTTCACATCGCTAATGTTCATCGAAAATTTTATAAAACTTCCGCTGTTTTGCCCCCTAGTGCCCATAAATAAAAGATTATTATGTCTTATCTTATCCCCTGAATAGTGATAGCCCAACACACGCGATGAGCAATAAATGGTAACCAATCTAATCTAGTAAGCAATATAAATGTTATAAACGACGGTACAAAAAATCAACATCTAACAGTCGACGTAAAACCACTGAAATGTTGAGGTTTAAGGATATTATTAGCGCAACACTGCTATGCTTGCTGTTTGTATCGATTTCGTTGCAGCAGTCAACTAGACGGGAGCCACTTGTCGAAATCGATTTGGGCACCATACGAGGGAGTATCTTAAAAACTGTAAATGGTCGAGATATATTCGCCTATCGGGGCATACCTTATGCACAGGAACCGGTTGGTATACGACGTTTTGCAGCGCCAGT